TCGCCGACAATATCCAATGGCTGGGATATAGTAAAAGGGTAAGGGATTACTTACTCTAGGGTCGCCAGTCACTGTCTCATAACGACTGGTCTCCGCGGTCTAGTCTGTCCACTTGTCGACTATACTAGTAATAGTGGCGCGTATGCCTTTGAACTCGCCGGGAGATCCATAGTAAGACAAGATGTCGATGAGTCCGCCGAAATACTTAAGGAGCTCGTCGATTGTCTGGCTAATAAGCCTTGCGGTAACCTGTAAACAAGTAAGCCGAGCCTTAAATGCTTTACTTACCGCTTTCTTTTTACATAAATCGAAGTAGTGGAGGATTATAAGGGAAATAACGGTAATGGTTTTGCCAGTCCTTATATCATTAGCCAAAAAGGCGCCTTGTACGAGAGATTTCTCTTTTAACTAGAGGATATATATATCGACTAGCTAGTAATATATAACCGTAAACTCTGGGTTGCCGGCGGGGTTAAGCTTTAGATGCTTACGCTAGGGCTTGTTAAGGTCGAGGTTAAAGGCTTCTAACACTATTACAAAGTCGTATTCCTCTGGTAAGGTGGCGTTTATCATCTTGTTAGAAGTCTAACTACTCTTAATATGCTCGTTAACCTTTGTAATAGCTTCCTAAGAGGTTATGTCGCTAGCCTCGGCAAGAACTTGCCCTAATCGCTTAGCTAGGGTCTTTTACGAAGCCATAAAGCTTCTTATAAAGGGATCTTTCGTCTAAATAAAGGCCTTAAGAGCGGTAACGCTACTCTCGTCCGGCTTAATCACTTAGACTTCACCAAAGTACGGATCCACGCCGTTAAGTACCATTTCAAGGGTAGTGCTATTAATAGGCGGAACTAGCGGTAAGTCTATCCTGTCCCGACCCTTGCCCTTTGGTTTACCCTACTTCTTACGCATATTGGCTAAACGCCTCTAGTACGTGTTACGCATCGAGTAGATAAAAGTAAGGCGTTAATTATTACTATCTATACGCTCTAACACCTCGTTAGGCGTGGCTACCAATACCTCCTTAAAGCCGACATTGGCTACTAAAGCGCTCTAGAAGGCGATCTAATCCCTCGTGGTAACGGTATAAAGCAACTTTTCGCCCTAAGTAGCACTCATTACGCTAGTAAGCTCAAACACCCCAATGCGCTATAACTCCTAGATAGGGCTGTTAGAGCCTTGTGGCCCATTAATAGCCTTGTTATCGGCGCGTCGGCGGTCGTAAAATGCATTTACTACAGCTAGTATAACAACCTAGTGGTCGGCATAGTAACCATAGTAATACGGTTTTACAAGACCCTTATTACCTTCTTTGAAAGGGTACCGGGCGGTGCCGTTATAATCGGTGGCGAACTTTAGTACGACTAACACATTAGCCAAATAAGTTATAACGAAGTGGGTGTAATAACGCTAGTTCATCAAGTAGTACGCTATATTAACGTCGCCATTACGTATATGAAAAGAGCGTGGCTTAAAGATGTCTCTTATTACATAGAGGACCTTATAAACACCTCGATCCTTATATTTGCTTATAAAAACCTTACCAAGCTTTTCAAAAGCGGGCTACGTACTAAACAGAGCCCAATTATTTTTGCGCAAAATAGCGAGCGGTCGGAACAAGTCGGTAGTTATAAAAATATTAATATAACATACCGTCTAGCTAAGCCAACTTGGTAAGGAAACAGAAAATGTAAAACGAGGGGTGTAAGGCATAGCGAATCCTTGCGAATTCGCATAGTTAAAGGGTATATAAACGACGGGAATTCGTAAGGAACAAGACAAAGCCATGCTAATATACAAGACCGGATAACGGCGTATAGAAAGAGCTAATAAGGCTTACGAGCCGATAAGGGCAAGGTATAGCGAATCCTTGCGAATTCGCATGGTTAAAGGGTATATAAACAACGGGAATTCGCAGGGAATAAAATACCGGGACTATAACGGTACTCACCTTCAGTGTCGAGCCAGGTAACAAACGCCTTAAATGTCGCAAAACCATTAAGGGGAGCATTAAGGCCTACTCTAGGTGCCTTGGTTCGGATGACGAGCATAACGGTTTGGCCTTGGATGAGAAGCGCCTTGTCTTTCTTAAAGGCAGAAGCGTCCGCTTCGGAAGGCAAATCGGCGGTGAACTTAGGCTCGGTCCAAGCCTAGTTATAATCGTACCACTTATTAAGGACCGGGATATCCTTTTTGAACTGTTCGATATTCTAGAGGTCGTAGTTAAGATAGCTTACGCGGACTGTGGCGGCGTATTAACTATACTTAGCTCCGTACTCAGCCTTAACAGCGGTAACCTGTTTATTAGTAGCGGGTGCCTAGTCTGTAACTTCGATGGCATCGAGGTTTATAACGTCCGGATATTTAGAAGTTACAAATGTATAAGTTCTAGTGTCGATATAGTCGTCCACTAGCTCGTCGCTATCGTGCTCAGATATAACAGCTATAGTTTTGGCCTTTTAAGGCCTACCACGCTTCCTAGGTTGGGTGCTTATGCTCCTATATACATGTTAGCATTATACATCGTGTATTATAATAAGGCTTGATAAACCCGGAGGCATTTCGCTTTCGACGCGGTATCGTAGGAATCTTTACGAATTCGCGCGGTAAATTGTACGGGAGCGGGAACGGTGAATGGAGATCGGGGCCGGTACTATGGCGATACGGGGGGCGATCGGGTAAATGGCGGCAAGCGGTGGTCAAAATCGGGACCTAAGCTGGCAAGGTTCGGGGACGACAAGGGAGAAAAAACGGTGATATAAAGGTATAAGGATACCACTAAATTATCAATGGTAGGAACAACCATTTAATCGCAAGAATTCGCACGGAATTAGTAACCGTTCCATTGCGCGAATTCGTATGGAATCATTGAACTATACTCACCTTATACAAGCTTAACAAATACAAATAGTGAGCACCGACACCGTATTTACTATTTTATCTAGAATAGACTATTATCGGCTTATTTCGATTCTCTCCCCACTTTCCTCTTTATAATAGTCATATCATCTTATACATATTAAGCCCATTCCTAATTTATAAAGTAGGACACCTTATCATTAGCTACCCCGTTACGCTTATAACGAGTATAATAGTCTTGTATACTTATATACTACTAGCCATTAGCTAGACGGCAACTTAGGCAAATACGCATATTAGCTTTATCACCCGGAGCGGCGGATAGCATTCCGTGCGAATTCGGGCGACTAATTGGCCGGTAGTAACCATGACTTAGTATACTCAAAACACTCCACTTATTATATAACTAGCTACCGCCCGACTCTATGCCGCCTCTCGCCTAAGTCTCGCCCCCATTTGCCCATAATCGGGCTCACATGTACACGGACCTTTACTTTATTTTCCGTACGAATTCGCAAAGAATAGCGGCCTCCACCGGTTGTTAATGCCGTTAGGCCCCGGGAATACTTCTGGAAGAAAACTGTGTATAATGGCTATATGAGCCAGTTTTACGCTATGTCGTTCTAAGACCCACTATATCCTAGTGTTACATTTAGAACAACTAAGCACTATATACACTATCGTAAGGCTAAACACTTTAAGGACGAGGAGTCCGTAGCTTATATCGCTAGCTTGTTAGCCACGTAGCCGTTAAGAGCCTATTATCGAGGAAGGCGTGTTAAGCCGTTTAACAAAGACGAGTGGGCCAAAGTTAGTCGGGACGTTATACTACGGGGTAACATGCTCAAGTTCACCGCCCGTAATGTAACGATAATAAGACGGTAATTAGTCGCGACTAGAAATGCAAAGCTAATTAAAGCTAGCATAGATAAGGTATAGGGCATTGGTTTTATAAAAGACGAGGCAGAGTATTATCCTTGGTCACGGTGGGGCCAAAACCTCCTCGGCATTTACTTAATAATAGTACGTAACGCCTTAGTAGAGGCAGAATCTAATGCTTTAAATTCTTTAAGGTCGCCGTTATCCTCTAAAGATAAGTTGTTAAATGAGGAGGGCTTGGCTATTACATAAAGGGGCACGGAAGACGAGCTATTACGTTCTAGTTCGGAGGAGTCTGGCTAGGAAGTGGCTACCGCGGAGGAGCTACCGCTCTTAGAGACGGTGACCACTACTCCTCGTATAAGTACTCCTACACGTCTACTATTTCCTAAGTCCACCATTCCTAATTCTCAAGACGACACACCCGGCAAGCTTAATCAGACACCTAATATACCCAAGGCAGCTAATTATACTGCCTCGTATAAGCGTAAATTTAGAGAGGGGCAAGACGTGGTCGAGGTAGTTATAACCAATCCGGCTAAGAAACGGAAAGTTAACACTCCGGAGGGTAATAAAAAAGATAAATCCTCCGTCGATATTATTAGTGTTACCACTAGGCCAACTACTAGGGCTATGTCTAAGGCCAAAACTTTAAACAAATAACTAGGGCTATAAGCTATACATAACGGTACAAGCGATACGGGTGTTATACTATAACGCAAGATATACGGTAACGAGAATCCGTGTAAATTCGCACTAAATTAAGGGAGGGATAGCATGGTTTGGTTTAATATATAGCCCGTCCGTATCTCTAAGTGCGTATATAAGGCTAACGCGTAGTTTCTTTTTAGCTAATGGAATTCATAAGTACGTTTATATAAACGGTATACTTCGATCCTTTTTATTTTTGTTAACAATAATGCCTTATACAAGATGAAAGAACAAAAACGTAAATCCGTGCAAATTCGCAGGGAATTAGGGATTACGATAGGCTTACGCTGGACTTATACAGGCAATTTTAAGGCTAATTTATAATGTCGAATCGCTATAATCCGCAAATTATTCTAAGTCTATAACGTGCTTAAATAGCGTTTATTGTTATTCAAAAGACAATGATAAAAGGTTACGTAAAATAGTAATTACCTACCCCGTTAAGTCTATGGCCGTAACGATTCTTTACGAATTCCCACTCTAGACTATTTAACTTTCGGGCCCGACTCTATCCCGGCGCGCTTCCCTAGCTTACATATTGTGACCCCGTTACTATGTATTCGGGCGCGATTAAGACCCGAGTATCTTCCGAACCTAATCCGACAAACACCACGGCCTGGCGCCTTCGGCCTACGCGAATTCGCACGGAATCTCCGCTAGGCGGCCGTTACCGACCGTTACTAACCAAGATGTCAGACACTGACGGCTCTATCGCTTGCCCTAGTCCACGTAAGGGCCATCCTACTTACGTTAGAAAGGGCATTCCGCCTTACGCTAGAAAGGGCATTCCGACCTACGTAAGAAAGGGTCTTATAACGTACGCTGGAAAGGGCCTCATGTCTAGCGGCACCCTGCCAAATAAAAGCGATGAGGAGGGTAACACCTCTAATCTTATACGCGTACCTATTCCGCGTAACGGGAAGGTAAACCCTAACACTCCTAAAATGAGCAAGAATCCTAAACGTTACGGGTATTACTAAAGAAAGATATTAACGGTAAAGGGGAAACTAAATCCCTTTGTCGTCTGCTAGAGGACGCCTTATACGTGAGATTATATGCTCCTTCTCGATATCGACTAATTATGTTAGCCGTTATATGCTTAAATGCCAACCGCGATAATAAAGGACGCCTCGTCGCTTAAGGACAAGATAATACCAAACTCGAGGAACTAGAAAGCGCGATAAAGGCTATTAAGGTCGAGGCTACTACCCTTAGTAAGATTATAGTTAGCCACGATAATAAATTCTACTAATACGATCCTACGGACGAGGTAAGTTATTATACCAGTCGTGCATAACTTCTATATTAACAAAACTACAGTATATACAAACTTAGTTAGTCGCCGCTAAACGCGTATTAGAGTATTACCGTTCGCTCGATCCTAATAGTACTAAGCCTATAATAACACGTCTAAAGGAAGCGACCAAGCGCAAGATCGAGGACGTCTCCTCTACTAAAGACGACGAGTTTAAGCGTATAGTAGCGTAGCGCATATTTGCTAAACAAGACCGAATCCAAGAGTTATAAGGCGAGTAACGCCGCGACATAGACCTTTTATTATAGCTGCAAATTGCTAGGCACCCATTTCTTGTATTATCTACGTTAATAATAACGCATACATCACTTGTATAACGAAGGGTGTTTCGGGGGAGGGGGGGGGGGGGGGGGGGGGGGGGCGTATATAGTCACGGAATGGATTTCCATGCGAATTTACACGATACCCGTTAATTTCTACTATTCGAACTTCGGTACGAATGTGCACGGAATGCCACGGGGTTCATAGTTTGGGTGTAATAAGATTTGTTCGTATTCTCTTGGCCTAGCCGTGAAATCTAGACTATAATAATGCGATATTCTTTTTCCTCTTTTAACTAAACTGTAAGGGGTGTAGTTTATAACATGTGTTAATAATGCGGCGTAAAGTAATGTATAACGCTAACGTTTTAAATAATCTTTGAGTAATCCGTGCGAACGCGTATAGAATGTACCTAGCTTCCTTAGGCGAATAGTTTCCTTATAAAATCACTTGTCTCTAATAGTTAATAACGAGGTGATTTATGTTCTATATATATTATACAAGTTACCGTATTTCTAATATAACTCTCTATATAAATAAACATAATTAACAAGTTTCTAACTTTCCTTATTTAACCCTTCTTCTTATCCACCTAGTTATACTATCCTCCCTTTTCCCTTCGTATATATCTTTTCCCGTCTTTTCTCCTTCCTTATACTCTTAGCTCTTAATTACCTATGCCATTATCTCCGGTCGTAAACAGCGTATAATAAGAAGTCCGACGTATAAGATCCCCTTATATTAATAAGCCTCCCTATTATCATCTTCCTTACTAATGTATTCTAATCCACCTTACCCGTCTTACTTCTCTCGCCATAAATTACACCACTCTTACGGTATGCCGTAATGGTAATAGCTAGCAAATGTCTCTATATGCCCTCGTAACTTAAGCCGGCCGTTAATCGCCTTAGGGATGAAGTTCTTCGGCAGCCTGGACTCTAAGTTAGGGCAGTTAAGTATGTTATGTACGCTATCGTAAAGCGGTATGGGTACTAATCGGAGCGTAGCTAGCCAACCACATACGGAGCATTCGACTCGGAACACCTCGTTTACTAAGTCCTTAAATGCGCGTATATCGGCTTCCGTCTACTAGACTGATTGCGCTCGCTATTAACGGAGATGTTATACGTCCCTCTCGGATATACGCACATCTTACACTGCCCTAAGCAGCCCTACCTTTAGCTCTTCTTGTTCCGAGCCATCCCTTACACTAGCGTCCATTCTAGACCTCGCACTCCCAAAGCTGCTCGTCTCTGCCCCGGCCTTACACACGTCGCATATTTGCTCCCCTTCGTTACAGCCTCCCCTCTCATCGTCCCCGTCTATAATGGAGCTCATAACCCTTCGACGGCAGGTCAAACCGCTGAAATAATCCCCTGACGTATACGGGGCGAGGGGGTCCGCCTCTTCTCTCGCTCGCCGGTACCGCTTTAGCTACGCCTCCCCTATAAAGGCGACCGCCTCGCTCGGCTTCCCGTCTCGGCCTGCGCGCCCGCTCTGTTATGCGTAGTCTTGCATTCGGTAGACTAGGCCTACATGGACAACCAGCCGCACGTCCGGCACGTCGATGCCTAGGCCCATAGCGTTAGTCGCCACGATGACACGCCCGTCCCCGTAGCGCCCTAGCCGTGGCTCGCCCGACATCCACGCCTTTAGCAAGTGGCTCTTATCCTCTTTAGTGCCTAGCTCCCGGTAATAGGCATTACACCTAAGCGTAGCAGAGAGCAACTTAGTGGCCTCGACCTTAGTATAGTAGATGATCACCTTAGCCGGCTACGGGTACTCCTCTAGCTTGCTATCGACTAGGTTCCTAACTTGTTGTTTAACAAGCTCTGGGGTATATAGCGGCTTAACGTAGACGCTATAGCGGATGTTAGTACGCGTCGTACCATCCTGGAACATGGTGACGTGCTCGCGGGGCTAACCACCTAGGTGTTCGATAAACTCCGCCTCGCTAGCTAGTGGTAACGTGGCCGTTAAATAGACCATCTAGACACTAACCAGGCTTAGATCCCCGAGCTACCGGAGCTTTGGTCTAAAGTCCTTCTTACCCTCTAGGATAGTGTAGCATTCGTCGACGACGATCCGGTCTAGGCGCCGGCTCTCTTATAAGAAGGCCAGATACGTATAGAAACCCTTAGTTATGGCCGACTCGGGCGTTACGAACACGATCTCGGCCGCCGCGTATGGTTGCTAAACGCTCCACGTTATTATAGATATGCCCATCCTTATATAACGCCTCTCCATGTCCCCTTATAGGGCCACTAGCGGCACGACGACTACCGTGACCCCGCCAGAACAGACGGCCGCTAGAAGCATAAAGCATAGGCTCTTGCCCGCGCCCGTCCTTATAACGGCCACGATCGGATTAGTTCCTTATAGGACGGCCCGGATAACGGGCTCTTATAAGCTGCGGAACTCTGCCTCCTCATATATCTTGGTCCGGAGCCACTTGTGGATGTCCGCTTGTCGTAGCACTTGCTAGCGCATGGTCTACATCCGCTCGTTCTCGCTCTAAAAGAGCGACGGGTTCTTACGCTTATGTCCTAAATGTAACGGCCCCCATAATGGCTGTTCGGTAACGGACGGAAACCCTAACAACCGATGCCAGTCCCGCGAGATGGCCCGGAACTACTCCCGCTTGTCCAACGTCTTAAAGGCGGCTTCGCTAATAAGACGGGCGTAAATGCGTCCGGCTAGATGGCTGTCATGACCGGCCTACAAATCCCACGCGCTGCTCTTCCCCCGATCCGTGTCGAATATGTCCTTGTCGTCCTCGTCACTAGTATCCTCCGCCTTCTCTAACAGCCCCTCCCGCGCATCCGTTCCGAACCACTTACGAAGATAACGTCGAGCCATAGAGATGGCGATGTGGCGCCAGCTACTAATGTTTAGCTCTTGTCCCGTATACTGCCTGCTAACCCGGCTGATGACTAGGCGTAAGCGCGCGCTCGTCTAGCGACTTCGGGCCGGGCTTCGTCCCCTAGCCGGCTCGTCGTCCTCCGCCACCGTGACTATCGCCATGAGTGCGTTATCGTCTAGATGGGCTGGTATGTGGTCTTGCCGAGCTCGGACACCGTTATCCTCTACGTCCGCTTATAGACTTAACCGGAAATTCGTGTCCCCTTTATAACGGGCCTAGCAGCTCTGCCAAAACGGCAAGACCAGCTATAAATAATATACGAGCAGCTCCCCAACCTCGCGCGGCAAAAAGCGGTGGATGACTTGTAACTTCCCCGTCCTTGCGTAGCCTTTATGATAGCCGATCACTACTATCACCTCGCCCTTATCGATAAAGATGTTCCGAATCCCTCCGTTCGTCGTGTTTCGGTGGCGCACGGACAGCACTTCGGGACCACGTACTGGCTAGCCAGCACTTACGTATACGCAAAACAAGAGCATCTCTAAGAACTAGTTAATCTTGCTCTCGTAAAAGTCTAGCTAGCATGCCTGGAAGGGCACTAAACCCTGCTCCCCTTATATAGCTAGGCCGCCTGCGATCCCGGACCGGTTAAGCCACAAGGCTTATAAATCGGACTCGTCCAGTATACGACGGAACAACCACGTACGGCCATCCAGCGCCTTGTACAGCTCCTTTATAAACGAGTAGTGCTATGTGTGCTCTCCCGGGCTATTTATAATCATGTCCTAGGGCACGGTAAGCAGCTTCTGCCTCTCCTCCTCCCCCTTAACCTAGGGGAGGGCTAACAACTCGTCGAGTAAGACCTGTCGACACTGGCTAACGGCAGACTATACCATGGCCTAGATGTCGCTTAGCTGTAATCGCACGCCCTTAAACTGGATCGTCGCCCTATCCCAGGCCACATGCCCGGTACTAACGACAAATGCGTATAGCTTCATAGCATACTATCGTAAGCGGAGAACAAACTGCGTCGGCGTAAGCACTACCTTGTCGCCCTTTACAAGCATGTACGTATAAACGATCGCTTTTACCCGTTAGAAGTGGCTAATCGACTTCTCCGCCGCCTCTTCCTCCGAGAGCCCTAGGTCGATATACTTACGCATGTCGGCCCGGCGCATTTAAAAGGCGTGTATAAGCACCATTAGTCGCAATACTACAAGTAGTGCTAACAGCTTAGGCGCGACGTTACTAGGCGTGTCCCACGTCTCGTCGGTCCGAATGCTTAGCACTATGATAAAGCTAACAAGAATGCTATCGTATTCCGACCCGGGCGTAGCGTAACGTAGTATGGCTATAATATGCGCTAAGACTTTCTCTTCTACTAGCCTCCAAGCACTTTGTACGGAAGGGTGGCTCTTATCGTCTAGGTAGGCCTCCTACGCTTCGGTAGCCCTGTCGGCCGCATATAACATCTCTAGACGGGTCCTGGCCTGCTATGCCGTTAATCGGAACGGCGGCCGCCTATCGTCTGCCTCTAACGATTCCGTACGTATAGAATAGGCTAATAGCTACTCAAACACGCCGATATACCGTGTATACGTCTTGTCTCGATGGTTCTAGTGAAAGGGCTTAGTAGAGCCGCTTTATAAGCTAGGCCTTATAAGCTCAAACAATGTCGCGAGCCTTACCACGTTCTGCCTAGCTACAGACTTCCCTAGTAAACAGAGTCTGCGTAGAGCCCAACATACTTATTATATAGCTTTCTCGGTTTCGGCCCTATTATCGTCTTACTCGCTATCCCTTTGCACCACCCTTATATCTTGTATAGTAGACGTAAGACCGGGTAAACTAGTAGAGACTAGCCCCCGTAAGAACGACTTCTCTCCTTATAAACCTGTTAGGTAATATAAAGCACCTAGCCTCGTTACCCATGGGTTCGGTACTACGAACTCATTCACTATATCGTGTTAGGGTATCCGTTTCTCGTCGCCAGCTACTACGAACGCATCCACAAGTTTTTCCTATACCGTGATATTGTCGCCTATATCGCTTATACTAGCCCGGACGGCATCGTTAACGTAATAAAGCACTTAGAAGTACTCACGGCCGTGTTGCCGTGCAAATAGCTGTTAATACCATATACCAGTCGCCTAGGGTCGATTTTCTATAATGGTATCCCTTTTCCTCGGGCGGCCACGTTACTTGTTTATATGGTAATAGTGGGCGCTCTTTAAGTGTTCTCGCATGCGTTTTTCGTGTACTGCTATAAACTGGCAACTAGGTTCGAGTAAACACCGGAGACCGTTATTAATAAGTAGCCGGATATATAGGATAAGTAAGACGTCGCTTAGGATACGGAAAGCTCGTAGCTAGGCTTCAGTCCTTATAATGTCTTGTTATATAGCCAAGCGATAGCTTTTAATACGTCACTAGATTAGATATTATGTTATTAAAGGTGGGCTTTAATACGGCTTTAGATAACCGCATACTAACAACGCTTACATATAAGTAACTTATAATCTGGTAATATAGAGAATAATTCCATTTTAAAGATAAAGAAACATTATATAATAGTTTTTATAGTTAATATAAAGGACTATTATAATAAAGGTCGAGTATAATACACTAAAAGGAAGAGTATAAGAGTATAAAAGAGAATGTCAATATATAAAAAGTAGGTATATACTTACTAGCCTAGTCACGTGATTACCACTTCCTAAGTTCGGTGATTTACGCGCTCGTCGCCTTAGTGTACGGAGTGCTCTCCGTACACTATGGACATTTATAGTCATCTATATTACCACATTTTTCAATTGATTAATAAATTATGGGTCAGGGTATTATTCCGGCCTAGTTAGTTTGCTAGCCTGTACATTTCTAGCGAGGAACATTTACATTTTTACCCTAACTTTTCTTATTAGAATATCTCTATAGTTATAAGTCCAATCCGGAATTTGATAACTGATTTGAGATCATAATAGTTAGATTACCCATTCATCAAAATTATAGCTTGTTACGACAACAAGAACATTGGTTTCCTAGTAAATCCGCATACTTATCCTTTGAAAATCCGTATACCCCTGGTCAATCCTTAGCGCTGGTTTTCTGTCACTGAATTTAAATCCGTAAAGGGTATACGGCGCAATGTATACTTATAAGGGTTTATTAACTAATCCCGACGCTTAAGCGTTATTATATTATATACGATGGGATTTATTAATAATAATTATTATATAAAAGTGAGATGTAAAACTTAAATCTTTTAATAATAACTAATTGTTAGAATATAGTTATCCGCGGTCTCGCACGACTATATAGTCTAGCTAGTTACCGGCGTACTAATAACAAGCCATTACAGCCACACCGTGGCTATAAGCAGCTTACAACCGTATAGGCCAAACCCCTATCTGTAAATCGCGTACGACGGGAAGAATCCCTTCTTCCTTTCGTATAATAGCGCTAAATAAATCTATTTGTCGCCCAAACTGTACGGAAAGAATTGAATGGAGAAGCCATTCTACACTAATAATATTTTCTTAAGACGTTAATAATAACGACGATATTCTTAATTTAGAAGAATTAAAACGCTTTATAAACGAGTTTAATAAAATAAAAAGTTATTACACTTTTATTGTTTTTAATTAAAAAGAAGATAACTTAAACTTTACCGTTAACGATTAAAATAATAATAATATAGCGTTTAAAGAGAGTAAAATTAATTTAAATAATTCTTTAAACGGAGATAATTTTACTAAAATAAATAATAAGCTAAAACTAACTAACCCTTTATGTAACAAGTATGTTAACACGGTATCTTATTAAGTGAGAAATTAACGTTTAAACGTATATCTTACTATTAGTATACGGTTAAAACTCATAGAGTTATCCGTTATACAGTTAGTAAGAACTCTAATGTTCCTTACACTCTTTTCCCAACTTAGGCGAAACTACCCTGTAATAGTTTCGCCACTAAAGCTCTCTCACGTTTTATTTACTTCTACGGTTATTATAAATCCACCACGATTTATAATCCAAGTAATTATTAATCCAATGGATTAATAAGATTATTCTAGATTATTCTAAGGTATTTTCCTTAGTATATATAAAGAGATATCCTCCGTATCTCTAAACGCTTTCCTTAAGTAAGCTTATAAATACATTTACTTACACTCTCTTTACTCTACCTCCGAGTATTACTTCGAATCAAGTGCTTCCGCCTAATTGACGTTATATAATATACACATAACCTTAAACATAAATCTATATATTTATCTTTTAAAAATCCGTATACTTTTAGTTAATCCTTAACGCTAGTTTTCTATGACTAAATTTAAATCCGTAAAGGGTATACGGCGTAATATATACGTATAAAGAAGAAGTAAAAGAGTAAGAAGCAAAAGCAAAAGAGGAAGAAAAGGTGGTATAAGAGATTAAGGAAGAGTAAGAAGATCCCAATAGCCCTTAAGTCGATATAAAACCCGATACTCCTAACATTGTCGAGATCGGCATAAGCACGCCAACTCCTAGATAGGCGGCGCACAATCCCGTAATTACCTTCGTGTCTCGTTAAGGCAGTGACTAGATAGTGGTTTCGTAAGTAACGAGCAATACTTGATCCGAAGTCGAACATGTGGCTGCGACATGGATGGCACATCGCTTGCGGCCCTTCTCTGCCGATATTCGGCCTTTGCTTCTTAAAGCATGCTATGCGGTGGCCAATATCCAAGCCGGGGCACGTGCTCGTTCTCATGCCTGAGGACAATGTATATGTAAGCCCCGAGCTCGCAGCTTCAGCTGTCGCCCGTATGGCGCAGTGGTTAAGTGCGCCTTGTAGTGGTCTCGTTGCGGTGGGCCACGAGAGCAAGTGTGTTCGAATCCCGCTACGGTACCCTTAACCCGGCTCGTGCCAGTCGTCAACAGGCACACGACAGTGAGATGGACTCTATCGCAGAGCCCGATGACCAAAGGAGTCTTCCTCACATATCCAATTCTAGCGGGTTTTCCCACCCCGGTGGGTTTTCCCCGCCGGCGGAAGCAACATCACCTGTCCACCTTCACCAATTCGACGGACATCGAACTGCTACTGGGACGATGTCCAGACCGGGGGAATGCGGACTCATGGGTCGGATACCAATGGACGGGCGTGTTTTCCGACAGAATCGAGGTTGGATACTGACTTAAACCATCTGGCAGCGCCAGCATGGTACCGTAACAACTTGGATCGGCACGTGAGAAGGCTCTGACACGTACATAATTACACACTGACTCCTCCACATCCCTGCGATATATGGCTCTGGGAGGCGTGGTTTGCCCTAGTAAGGGACGTCCCCCACGTTAAATACAATCAATCAATTAATCAGCTCCAGCTAGTCGGCTGCGATTTGATAGTACCATTCCGTGATCAATTACCGTTGTACTCTGCGGACACCACTTGAGATAAGCAATGATTGGCAATGGCAGCATTAGTCTGCTTATAGTAGATGTGGCGTATGTATCAAGATTGAGCTTATTTCTGTTCACCGTACTGTACTGTAATACATAGACCGTGATCGTGCGACTTTACATGAAGACCTCATCTCGTGGTGTTATAGACGTGCCAAAGCGAAAGTGTACCATGAGCATACGTAATATCAAACAAGAACATGATGGTCAAGCCGATCTTGTACGTAGGCTGTACGGCTGAGCTTCTACTGTGTCACCTCTCCTCTTTCCTCTCTTCTCTTCCCTTAACCACCGTCGACCAGAAGATATATACATATCCATTTCAAGTCATGTACAAGTCGCCACTAGCTTCGTTGGATAATGCTTGAAATGCAACTTGCACGTCCATTTCAGGAGGAAAGAAGATAAGCTCGAGTCGTCCATTTATGCCACTCAAATGAAAGATGAAGTGTTTGGCACAAATCTCTGGCTGGCATATTAAGTGGAACCCTAGACTCCCTACTAAGAGAACTATATTATATAAATCAACTAACCGTAGTCGCTCCCCGCACTATTTAGCTTATCCCTGTCCGAGTACACCATGCTTTGGTGGATTTCGCTGGTTCTGAGCAGTATCGACAGCACTGGGGCTAATAAGGCCGCGATCCAGAAGTCTGTGGGTACTCCATAGTCCACTCTTGACACCGCTTAGTGTTAACCTAGATTTTTATTAACAGGGCTTAAATCAATCGTCCATGGGCACTTACACCGTCGATTGGAGCTCGGATATTCTGACCCCCCTGAGGCGGGGTTACCATCAGTGCCTTACGCTCCAGCGTTTCCCTAGGCACATGTTACTTGACAAACACGTTGTTGGGAGGATCATAAAGATTGACCGAGTCGACTTGACCAAGCAGAACCAGTTCTTGTAGGTCACGCGAAGTATTGGTTTCGTAATTTCGTTTGAATTCATGAGTATAACCGTTCATGACTGGTTCACCAACCACGTGGATGATGATTCCCTTGCATGATATGGATCTGAAATCCTGGCTGATATTGCTGCGATCATCGGTGGCGTTGGGAATGAAGAGGGCGAAATGGGCGCGTTGGCTTGCAGATCCGCGGTACATGGCAAGATAAACAGAACGAGGTGTCATTATGACGTATAGGAGGTGATAATGAGTATCGCAAGGAGAGGGGACTGAATGCGAGACTATGATTGAGGACGAGTTGAAGCAATACTCAGCTTCATGTATACCCACGCCACATAACTCTGCTTCCGACTCAGTGTTTTATTGGCTTGGAGCTTCGCCTAATGGCCGACTGATGTAACGAAAGACGCCGCTCGCTCCACATCGCATCAGATGGGGCACTGGTTTAGACAACCGCCCGCAACGTATGCCTTGCTGCGAGGATAGCTCAAAGACCAAACAAGTCGTGCCCATAACCGCCCGCAAGCGCCATGTCCCGCTAAGGGGACAGTCCAAAGAACAATCAGGTCGTGCCCTTAACCGCTCGTATTTGTGCGGTTAGTAGAACCCACTGAATAGTAGATTAATGTCTCCACCCGCGCGCTATGATGGGGAGATTAGAGATTAGGCATCTGATAGTTGTGGGACTGCTTAGGCTGTCCAACTTTTCGCAACAACGTTCAAGTCTCGATGCTTCCCTCCATCGTTTCTTGCCATCCACTTACTCCATTTACGTTCATCCTGCAATGGCGCCAGAAAGCTCAAAGCAGACATGTTTCGACATATTTTCTCTGCCGGATACATCAAATGCTGAAATTGATTTCCTTGAGACTTCATTTTTTCATTCGAGCGCGCTTCTGTCACCCCAACTACCAGCACCAGCCAAAGTCCTTAAAGAGAACCCACAGCTCGAGGAGGGCGTTGCTATTTATGAGAAGCTGAATCTCGCGGTCAAATTTGGGGGTCCCTCTTACCTCAGGCTGGAAGAAGCTCAAACAATGAGAGCAGTCAAACGCGCATTCCCGAACAACGAGGTTCCAGTGCCCGAAGTTTTCGGATGGAGGAGGTATGGGGACAAATGTTTTATATACATGAGTCTCATACCTGGCAAAACACTGCGGGAGGGATGGCCAGCGCTCACTGAGGTGGATAAGAAGTCGATATGTAATGATCTTGCACAGATCATAGCAGCGCTAAGACAGGTTTCACAAGGCTCGTCTAACACTTTCATCGGTACACAATTTACATCTTTCGAATCTCGCTCCCATTCTCTAAGTAAACTAACCACGCTTATAGGATCTATTATCCATGGCACTATTCAAGATAGGTTCTTCCAGCATGATTACGAAGATGGACCATTCACTACGGTCAAGTCATTCAATGATTGGCTGCTCGCTGCTGCTACTCGTACGAGGCCCGGACCGGAAGGAATCACTGGCCCCTATCGAGACCTACTGCCGGACACGGGCCATGTCTATTTCACTCATGGAGACCTTACACTCGGGAACATCATCATCTCAGGCGGGACCAACTCTCAAAGAATCGTGGGAATTGTGGACTGGGAGCAGGCTGGTTGGTATCCAGAATATTGGGAGTACTGTAAGCTACTTTACGGAGTGGAGTACACTCATGAATGGCGTAGCGCTGGATGGGCTGAGACAATTACGGAACGGTACGAGACCGAATGGTTTGCTTTCGCGGAGTACTCATCTTGGCGGTGTCCATGATCGATGACATCCCAACAAGAATTGTATTGATTCGGGAAAGGATTGGAAACTTTGACCAACATACTGCTTGCGACAGTGAGACTGCAGAGACACGTGGATGCGCGCATCATTGTAGCGACTAAAGAGCCGACAAACTCGTCGGCTCTGCTGGCTCTGTGTTCGGCAACCATCATCCATTGTTTTACTTTGCCGGCGTGGTTGCACGCCCTCCAAGCCCATGTGGCACTTCCAGTTCACAAGCAAGCAATGCCACGCGCGCCTCGCGGTCAGGACGGACTGCCACTCTCGAACCGTCAAGGAGTTGTTCGGGGAGATTGTCGGTCTGAATACGGACGAAGCGCTTGTCTTTGCTCCAAGTGCAGCAGTGGGCAGCGACAGCAAAGGAGACAACGGTTAGGAGCAGGGATCGACGCTAGATCGGGCGTATCTCAAGGTGACTATCACTGCCTCTAATATGCGGTCCATGAAGAAGCGGTCCTTCGCTAGTAACGAGCGTTATATACTTAAGCATGGCACTGAAATAATCTCGAACGGATATATTCTCTAACGTTGTACAACGATCAATAGTCGTATTGATGATATATTCGAAATACTACTCCAGTAGTCATTAGACCTGAATGGTCCCTAGTGCTAAGTGAACTCGATGCAATCACTCCTGCGCAACCTACAAGCCACCTGTAAGCAGGCTTGGTACCTGTGCTAGTGCTCTAGAATATCAAAAGTGATAGCAATCCTTGTAGATGTTCTGTCGTTAAAAGGTCTACAACGTCTCCTATCATTAAATGTTCAATGAACTTTAGTGAAGTTCATTGTTTCGTAAACTAGTCGTTTAAAAGACAAGGGGTATAATTCATTGAAAATCCGTGAGCAAAGTTCATTGACCTTTATAAGTCTAATTCATATAATACATATATTAAATGAAAGCGCTCGAGCTAAGCATTCTAAACATATCTTTAGAATAGTCGTACGACATATATAGTAATAGGCATTCCGAGTTGAAATACTTGCGAAAAGTCTTAATAGGGGAACTAGTCAATTAGAACGCGGTATGGCTCACTTCCCTTGGCAGTGATCCAATGTTCGTCACGTGACTTGGGTCCTTTGTCTCATACCCATTTGAGGCTCCAGCTGTCTCCACATGGCGTGCCCGCAGCCGTGCCACTTAAGGTCGCATGCATGGCCTGCGTTCGTAACACAGGTGTCCATCGAGAAATATTGTAGTCCATGTTGCGACACCATGATGGAACATCCTACTGTAGAATCCATCCAAACCAAAGGCGAATATACGATTCAAGACTTCATCATCACGGGTTTAATAAAGTAGTTCATCTAGTGAACCTACTCAAGCTGTATGCTGTAAAGGATGTGCGGCCGGCCTAAATAGAGAAGTGAGGTCTGTCCTACATATCGCATCTTTTCCTTTCCAAATTAACTTTCCAGCCGTGAAAATAATGGTGGTCATGCATTATGTAACCTTCTAGGATATGTTTATCAAGTATTGGAGACAAATGACGAGGATATGCCTAAGGTTACGTGGTTGGCGCCGGTAAATTAGCCGTTACATTTGGAATTCTGATTTTTAATGATAATATGCTTATTAGTGAGCTTGAGAGCAGGCTTGCCGATCCTCCGGATATCGGTAATATAGGAATCAAACATTAGATACAAAGGCCCCTTATTACCTACTAGACAGAGTTCTTGTATGTAGGCTTTCTTACGAAGGGTAGTATAATTGAACAGTCAAAACACTCTATGCACTACGATGAAGAGGTAGGGTCAGGTAAGATAAGTTCGTGACTGCATCGTCACCGGGTAGATTCCCTTCGGCCCAAGGGTCTGACATTAATCGAATCGAACGGACCCCACGTTAAATACAATCAATCAAACGGACCTCCGCTCGATCGATATGCAAGATACCGGTATAACGTAGGCTCTATACTCACTTTCTGTATGGGTTAGGTGAATAATACGACCCGTGCCACCCCTGTATTGGCAAATCGATCGAGCGGAAGGCCGTTCGATTCGATCGATTTCACACCCTGCTTCGCCCCGCGTCATGCATAAATCATTAATGTAGTATGAGTAAGCGTACCGCTAATGGCCAATGACATTTACTCGTCGAATCACTACTTTGAGCAAAAGATCATCTATTGGCGAAGGTGGGATTGTAGGGCTTAAAAGAACCGAAAAGTAATGGACCAAAACCTTTTGGCCTGCTCTTCCTGCCCTAATCTGCTCAACAGACTCCTTACACAAAGACATCCAGGATGTAATTGAAGAGTTGCCCAATTCTGCAAAATAGTTCTCATTCATCCTTTTTCGTGAATCTCAGACGGTGCGGGTTAAAGTCTGGGCTACATGACCCGTGGTCATAACTCAACCTTCTTCATCAAAGATTGGGTCGACTCATAGTGACAGGCTCTTATATACTAAGGCATTGTGCTTATTAATAAAGCTCCCTTTTCATAGGAACACGAAGTTGGCCGCCACAGTTTAAGAAGTTCCGGCTAGAATCTAATAACACCAGGTTTTGAGAGCTTTTTCGTGAACTTGAACGAGCGTTAGCTGCAACTCAGCATCAAAAGGATACATCATAAGTTAGGGCCCAAAGCCACTATCTAGGCCGGTTATTATAACGAATGAAAAACTTTATGAACGCTAAGGCATCGGTTTTGTTTAGCATTGACCAAGTATGATTATTTTTCATGTGAATATGATTCTTTCATGACCCTACTTTGTGCTTCAGTCAAGGAGTCACGTGAGGTGATGAGCAAATGAGCATGAAAGGAGCCCGAATGTGCTCACTTACGATCTGAAATTTTTGATATTTACGTAATATGATATTCACCTAGAGAGTCAAGCCTTCCCACTGCCTTGAGGGTAATAAAATTTGATCACACTCTAAAGGTTCACAAATCTGTGTAAGTTCATATTGGGGGGTGGGGTAAGATAAAAAAAGAATTTATTGACTTTATACTTCATACCATCGTTGTCTAGACTCGTACGGACTATATTAAAACGTATGTAGCCCAATCGTGGATTCTCGTGTCAATCAACCTTGGTCTATCAAGGCGTCTTTCCAATCATGACCAGTAAGGTGGCCACGTTACATAACGGGGCCCGAATGCATGATATATGCTTCGCTTGACTACCTTTATGATCCTAAACGCCACTACTTGTTACTAGAGATACGTCCTCTACTTCATGCTGTTGGTAATTTATCAATGGTATTCCACGACCGATTAGTGTATTACGCAATGATAAATCCAGAATGTTATAGTTAATAATGCCATAAGGTCTTCTAAAGCCTTTGTCTTTGTTAATTTACTAGCTCGGCAAGATTAAATCAGAGCTTTCTACAGTAATACCGTTAGATTGGTTATTATCGAGCGCTGGCCGTAACAGTCAGAGCATGTTTTATTGAGACCTCTTTGTGAAAGAAAGTTTAAGTCTTGAATGAGAATATCTCACTCCTTCACTACGAACAACTTGATAGTCTCCAGTAGTTAAATCCTGGCTAATGTAGTGCACTTCGTCAACGCCAAGCGGCCTCAATTCTTTCTACCCGTGCCACGCCCCCACTTTATTAGCAGTTGGCGAGCTCTACTAAAGTTCCACTAGTGTCGAGACAGGTTTAAGGTTAGTTAGATATTGGGTAACGCGGTCATGTACTTCAGTTGTCACGTCCATACCCAAGCCACCCCCATACATAAAGTGAGATTGCTACGGCTGATGGACACGCTGAAAGTCATCGGCCCATCTCTAACTGACGTCCTCGCGCAACGGCAAGCCTACTCAAGGTTCAAAGTAGCCTTGAACTGTCGAAATCATTCAAGCCTACATGACTAGCCTAAGCTGAAACGGCTAAAAATTTAAGAATATACTGGACTAGAAGGTCTTTTCTAATATCAATTCACAATACCAAGAATTAAAAACTCAAGTTCTGGATTGTGGCTGTCGAAGAAGACCCGTGCCGGAACCAAGCGAGTAACTTATCTACCTTCAACCTTGCAGCGCCCATCTTTCGGAACTTACCGTCCCCGCTTGACCACTAAGTTCCAAAAATGAAGCAGTTGGTGCTGCAATCAACCATTCCGCACAACCTTTTTTCCCCTGTCCCAAGCTCTCAGAATGACTGCGCAGGGTGCAAAACCATAGACTGCTCCCGAGGCACACGCCAAGGGCGGCTTATACATAATATTTGAGGGAGAGATCCTGATACCTCCAAAACCCTACGATGTATGGCTCTAGGAGGCGTGGTTTGCCCCAATAAGGGACGTTCCCCACGTTATATACAATCAATCAATCAATCTATTTGTCTCTAAAGGAAGAGAGTTGGCTTGCGGCAATGCTTCTGTCCCAATTTATGTGCGACTGCTGTAATTGACATCCATGGAATCGCAGGGGCACGGAGTGTCTTATCTCCACAAAGTGATAGATATATATTGCGAGTCGCCTTTGGGATCTTCGTCATAGAATTGAATGCCCCTCAGGATTCCACGGCATTGGCTCGTCAAAACTTCGGCACCTTGGAGTTGCCACAGGTAGCTTCTTGATGTCTCACATACATTATAATATGGCTGCGTGACACAAGCCTCCTGGCCTGTCTGATCCCCAGTCGTATAACTCAATTTTGGCACGGGGTGTCCGACTCGCCAATAACACATTTGGCAAATTCAACATTTGTTCCCTTGTCGTATTTAAGATGTAAAGCCTCTAGAAGTGTCATAAAAGTCATTTGTTGTACATCTGGATGGGTATTATTCTTGAGGCCCAACATGACGAAAAGGCTATGTCCTCCACCGACTGGCGTAACAACTTGGCCACGTGTATCAAGGGAAAGCATCTCGGAAGAAGTTCCTTAATCACTTATACATCCAGCGTCGACCTAAATGATGCCCAGGTGTTTCATAGTACGAGTCCCAAGGTGAAAGAGAAGCATCGAGCCAGGGATCGTCGTGAACAACAAGTCTAAAACCATTACAGCACAAAAATAGAAG